AATTTATAGTTTAATTATAATAATAATAATAATAATAATATTTTGTATTAGGGGTTTTTCTTTTGTTTACGTCACGGTTTTTGTGTGTGACCGCGTAATTATTATCATCATCATCATTTCACATTTGATCGATTTTACCCGACGGAAATTTAAAATGAAAAAATTTAAAAAATAAAAATGGCGGGAAATTTTAAATGATTTTAACATTTCGAGTTTATTTTTTTTTAATGAAACATAAAATAAATTACGAATAAATTTTTTTTTTTTCATTATTTTATTTAATAAATTATCGTCTGCTATCGATTTCCCTCTCCCCCTCTCCCTCCTTCCCTCCCCGTTTACTTTATTTAGCTTTTTTTTTTTTTTTAAGGTAAAATGAAAAAAAAAAAGAAAACAATAAAAGCATTTCAGACGGCGTTACCGCTACGTGTAATTTTCACTCTTACGTCAATAAAAAAAAAATAATAATAACAATAAAATAAGAGGTGAAGGAGAGAAGGGGGGGGAAAGAAAAAGGAAGATTATTTTAAAATTTGCATGATCTCTCTTACTGAATCTATCACGTCGTGTTTGTAATAAATAGTCGATAAAAATAAAATGAAATAAAAATTCCATTAGGTTAACATTAACCCGCCTCTCGTCCCGCCCCTCCCGCATCTTCCTTCTCTCCGCCCCTCCCCTCCCGCCTCTTTGCCACTCGCTTTTTTCCTCCCGCTCCTCCCGCCGCTCACTCCTTTTTGGTATTTAATTCGATTCTAATAAATAAAATCGAACAATTAAATAAGGCAGGCAGGGAGGCACGCTGGGAGTCAAGGAGGGAGGCAAGCAGTGTTGCCAATAAAAAAAAATTTTTTTTTTTTTTTTTACAACTCCCATCATTTTTTTTCTTTTTTTGTGTTTTAATCGTCGACAAAAAAATAAAAACAAATTAAAGAAAGAAAAAAAAGCAGAAACAAAAAAAGAAAATAAAAAAAAAAGCGAAAATGACGAGATGACGACGACGACGATGATGATGATAATGATGATGATGATGATGATGATGATGATGATGATGATGATGATGATGATGATGATGATGAAGACGAAAGAAATTAATGTCTAATCAATTAAAAGTTGTCTGAAACATACTTTTTGCGTTAATTTGAAGTTGTTAAAGCTCAGCTGGAAAAATCAAATCTTTACTACAGCAATAATAATAATAATAACGATAATAATGATGATAATAATAATAATAATAATAATTAATTAACGACGAATTTTAAGCATTTTATTACAAAATACAATATAAAATCGTAAAAAAGAAATTGTAAAAATTTAAAACAAAAAAAAAAAAAACTATTTTTCTCTATTTTCACTCTTTCTCACTCTCTCTCTCTTTTTGTTTTTTAATTATTATAATTGTTTAACCGAAAAACGCGCGCGTTTTTTTTTAATGTTTAACGCGAAGTTATTTCAACGAAATAACGCGTTTATCAATTTTTTT